GCTATAGCCTTAATGAAGTAATGTCATAGCTGCTGCGCTATGCCATGTCCTCAGTTACTTCGCCGGTACTTATTTAGTGAAACCTTTTTCACACCTATCCTACATATCTGTAGGACATTTCCCTATCAGCCAGTGAGACGCGCCGTGTCGGGGCTGAGGACTCCCCCGCCCGTCCGTCTTCCGCGAGATACAGAAGAGTCCCTACTTAATTCAGAACTTCTCCTCCATGTAAGCTGGTACGGACACGGTTCTGTTCTCAAGAAGAACACATAGCTTCCAAGCAGTCTAATTTTTAGACTCATTGAGATGTCTACTACACAATACCTTTTCCATTTTTTTGGCTGCTCTTTTATTGATTCAAGTCATACCCTAATATTTTTAATAAATTTATATTTTTATTAATGAATTTTTCACCTTCTTTCTTTGTTCTACATGGTTGAGGTTTCCCAAAATTGTTTCATTTTCGTGATGATTATGATCTTTTTTAAATTAGATAAACTAAACTAGATAAGTCATTTGTCTCTGATACCTGCTACTCTATGAATCAATTGTTGTAGATCTTACAATAATTTAGTTATTAGGACAGTGTCATCTTTTAATTGTTTCAATGTTGAAATGTAATGCCTATATTTTTTCATGTTCAAAAACTGATTATCATCAATATCTATGTTAATATAAATTTAATGTATTTTAAAATATTTGATCATTTTGTGGATTTATTTATATTGTAAATTACAGAAAAACAACATATAGGTTTAAATTATAAAAAAATGGTATTATTTTTGTAATCATCAAAAAACTGAAAATCATCATAGAACATAAAAAAAACATTACGTATTTTGGTATTAGAATCTTTCCAAAAATATTTTAAGGAACTATGTCCCCATGTATGTAAATTCCAAGAAAGAGTGTCTAAGAAAAACATTCCCTATTTTTTAAACATATTTTTCCAGGCTTGATGTCTTACCAAACAGTTGTTTTACGCTTCCGAGACAATCTGGTTGCTCGTGCAACACCTGAAGCTATAGGTTGAGCAATAGAAATCAGTCTTCTATTGAATGGCTTTTTTAATATATTTTATCAAATAGGTAGTAGTAAAGTCTTCCTACAGTTAGCACAATTAACGACATCGTTTTTGCAAATTATGCACTATAGCTAGAACATATTATTGCAACATTATTTTTTTGACATTTTTTCGGTAATTCAGATATCTGTTATCAAGTTGAATATTTTCTCTAGAAGAGGATATTCAACTTTATACACTTGAGCTAAGATTTCATCTTCTAGTTGCAATTTTGTAGCTTTTCGAATTTTAAATCTCTTGATATACCTTGGTTGTATTTCTTTTATATAAGAGTTATATTTTTTATGGTAAGTGTCAATGTTTCTGCTTCATATGTCAGAACTGGAAGTACACACTGATCAAAAACTTTTCTCTTCAAGCACATGGGAATAGCTGATTTAAAGAATTCCCTCAGTTTTCCGTAAGCTGCCCATGCCAGTCCTATTCTCCATTTTAACTCTGTTGTGCACGAGTTCTTGTTATGCTCTTGAGCACGAGTTGGTCTTAAAATTAATTTTTCCAAAACACAATACATGACCAACCTGGTACTGGCAAAAAACATTTCCACTAATGGCACGCAAATTGAACAAGTGTATTCCTATAAGTATCTGGGCCACGAGATTAAATTGGGAAGAGACAATCAAACAACAGAGTTAAAAAGGAGAATAGGACTGGCATGGGCAGCTTACGGAAAACTGAGGGAAGTCTTTAAATCAGCTATTCCCATGTGCTTGAAGAGAAAAGTTTTTGATCAGTGTGTACTTCCAGTTCTGACATATGGAGCAGAAACATTGACACTTACCAGAAAAGTAATTAGTAAGATACAAGTGGCACAGAGAGCGATGGAGAGGTCAATGTTGGGCGTATCACTCAGGGACAGAGTTTCGAGTCAGATAGTAAGGAGAAAAACTGGTGTGACGGACGCAGTTGAAAGAATTACAACCCTGAAATGGAACTGGGCAGGACATGTTGCTAGGGTCAGAGATGGAAGATGGACAAAGAAAATTTTAGAGTGGAGGCCTAGACACGATGCTTATCGTAGTCGAGGACGTCCTCCAACAAGGTGGTCGGACGATTTAAAGCGCATCCAGTCTAACTGGATTCAAGTTGCTCAAGATCGGATGCAATGGAATTATTTACGGGAGGCCTATGTTCAGCAGTGGACGCAAAATTGCTAATGATGATGATGATGATATATTTTTTATTATAGTTTTATATAATTAGCCCTAATTAGTTTGGTCTTTTGTTTAACACTACTATTTATCGTTCAAATTCTATAATAGACTACACTTTGTCCATATTTTTTAGAATATTTTAAAAGAATTTATCATTCTCAATGTATTTGTATGCATTTTTTCATTATGTGCTTTATTAGTCTTTTTAATTATTTTTATAAGTGTTTATTTATAATCTAAATCATTTCAGAATATTAAGTAAATATCTTACGGGTTTGGGCATAAAGGAAAGACATTTAATTATGTCTTACCTTATTTTATTTTGGTTTAACTTTAAAGTAGGTCTCAGGGCCAGGTTCTATCTAGTCTTCTTGTGGCTGGACCATTGTTGACTAACTCCCTTACTAGCTTATTTTCATGGTGAACGCTACGTTCATTTTTTGACTCCGTGGCTGGATAGATTTCTTCTCTAATGAAAGAAATCTTCAAGTCGTAGTGAAGTGTTTTGGATAACGAATTATCGAATATTATCGCATAGTCAAATTTGAATGATATTTAGCGACGTTGACTTTGCACAATAAGTTTTTGATAATGAGACTTTACACAATTGACAATAAGTGTAGTCCGTACAACCAGATAGGTTTGAGTACAGCTTTGTACAGAAGAATTTTGTTTTGGATGTTAAGTTTTGATTTATGTCAAAGGAGAAAATATATTTGCCTAAGTTTTAAGTCCTGCTGTCTTGATTTGGTCTAAAAATGTTTCTTTCAAGTGAGACTTTGGTCAAGATGGAGGCCAAGGTATTTAGCGTCTGGTACTGTTGGTATTCTTACTTTTTCCATTCTTACAGGTAGGCATGTGTTGTGGCTGTTGGTAAATGTTATTTGAGTTGATTTTGTTTTGTTTACTTTTGTTCTCTATTTTGGATACCAATCACTGAGTGTGTTCAGATGATGTTGGATGTTTTATAAGGCTTTTCTCAGATCTTTATTTACAGCTAGTATTGCTTCATAGAGAAAAGTAGCAGGTCAACAACTTTGCCACTCTGACCTTCCAACCACATTATTAAAAACAATACACTCATATATCTTCAATCGAACAATAAGAGTTAGAATTAACGATAAATACTCTACACAATTCACTTCATAAGCTGGAGTGCCTCAAGGCTCAATTCTAGGATAAATCCTACATACAGTTTATAAAAGCGACCTGCCCCGCCCCTACGATCAAAACGAAACCACACTCCTGTATGCCGACGACACAGCACTGCTCGCTTCAGGTACCGTAGATAAGCGGAACAATAAGGCTCCGCTCTGTATTTTAAAGATCTCACGCCCAACTTGACAAAATTATCAAATGGTGCAACAAATGAAGAGTCAGTCTCAACCCAACCGAAACAAAAGCTATCCGCGTTTAGATTCCTGTTTAAAAAATCCTTTAACTACTTGTTTTCAATTTCAGAGGAACCTCAATTGGGATACTAAATTAAATTTCACCTTAAACAGATTAAGAAGAAGGCCTGAAAACCTACATTATGGGGCTGTTCTTTACTCCTCACTAAACAACTGCTAAATAAACGACATCATGGCCACCGAACGCAAGATCTTAAGAAAGATCATGGGAAAGCATGCTGACTATCTCTCGGCATTTATCCACCAACTGGAAAACATACCAACTATAGAGAGCTGAATTCAAACTCTTGACAGGAGACATGTCCTTTGCATCGTAACAAGCTCCAACATCAGAGCAAAAAAGGTCCTGAAAACATCTTGGCACCGCCTAGGACACATAAATACCAGGCACTTCATTAAAAAAGCTATCCGCAGGACAGCATGGCTAATAACCTTCCTCATTACAAACCATGCACCATAAACGATACAGCATACACATACTAACTGACTATTACTTCTTAGCAAACCACTCGTCCTCCCCATCTATCCTTAACAAACACAAACAGCAACCGCAGACTGACGTCTGCTGTTACTAGCTCTCTTTGGCAAGGTAGCCCTTACCGTGAAAAGGTGTGGGTTCCACCCAAACGAGATATAAATAACGTCACCATCCTGAAAAGAAGCGGTCCTTGAAGCTACCCTGTGAGATTCTGTAGTTATTAGGACAGAGGTTGGACTATTGGTCATTGAATTTTACAGAGAAATATATTTGATATGTAGGATTTGAGTATAAAAAAATAGTTACTGGCTAGTGCTATTTTTACTTTGTAAAGCAGGCCTCTGTGTCAGACTTTGTTAAACGCTTGTGAGATGTCTACGAATATAGGGCTGCAGTATTTCGTTTCTTCGCCCTTTAAAATAGCTATCAAACTGTCGTCCACCCATTTATTATTTTAAACCTGACTCTTGATAGAGTAGCAAGCTGACACCAAGGTGAGATTAATCTTAGATAGTGAACACATCAACAATGATGATATAGACTGGGATATAAAAAATTTAGACCCATATAAAATTCGACTTCTTAGTGTTTGTTGATTGACGGTAAAAATTATATATAATCACCACCCATGTTGTTCTTTATACTGTTTTTTGGTTTGTGTTTTATATACTTCTATACAGATCTAATATAGTACGAACTTTGCATCAATATTGACTTGAAATAATACCAAAATACTTTTCACTTGACTCAAACAAATAATACCTTTTTTTCTATAAACAAGTTTACTAAACTCCAAATCAATACTAAATTCTTAATAAGCATTTAAAAGTTATTCAAACTACAAAAATAGCTAACGTTTGCTTAAAATTAAGAGCGTAAAAAGCGTGGAGGCTGCACCACCTGGAAACATATTCGACATCTTCAAACCCAAAGATGGAGACGCAAAGGACGCAGCCAAAGATGGAGAAAAACCAGCAGACAAACCCGCAGATGCTGCTGCAGGTGCAGATGTAACCAAACCTGCAGACAAAACTCCAGAGGCTAAACCCAACATCTTCGACGTTTTTAAACCAAAGGTAAGAGCTTAATTTGCTAGTGGGGTTAGTTATGGTGTGTAAAGTTATTAATATGGCGTTTTAAATAATATATGATAGGCACATATGTGCCACAATGGTAAGATAATTATGACAATGATTTATATAAAGTAATTGTTTGTTTACTTTTATTATTGGCTTACAAAATAATTTGCTAGTAGTAATTTTTTTCTTTATTATTGTTCTGAAGTTATTTTCTTGTGGCATCTTAAAGGAATTACAATTTTAGTGGGAATAAGCCGCAATTAGAGTTTAAAAGTTTATTGACGTTTTAATTTTCACTTCGGAAATCGTTTTTAAAATAAAAATGTTAATAAAATAAACGTTTTTTTTGTTTTATTTATTAAAAAACATATTTCGTTTCATTTATTATTGTTTGTATTTTGAGAGCGATTTCCGAAGTAGATATTAAAACGTCAATAAACTTATGTTAAACTTCAATTGTGGCTTATTTCTATTAAAATAGTAACCGGCATTTTTCTCTTTTAACTCAGATTTTAAATTTTTTTAATTAGGTACACCAGGTGCTTTGACATATCAATGTTATTCATAATTTTGAGATTCTTGTATTCGCTGACAATATTGATTATTTCTCCTCGATTTACGAGGTTTTCTAGTCTACAGGCTATATCAATGTTAACCATATGTGTTTTCATACATAATGCATGAGTTTTAAGCCCGTTTCTTCCATATTTTTAAGATTTCAGGTCTTCGTATCTATAACAGAGTGATTTGTTCGTCGGATTAGAGTAGCTTCAATTTCCTCTAATGCTAATTTTCTTGTACAAGCTTTGTGCCGTATATACAGGGTGGTCCTTAAGTAATTGTACAAAAAAAAACCGTATATTCTACACTTAAAAATATTACGATTTAAGTCAAATTTCTTTAATAAAACAATGATATTAAGAAAGATACAGGGTGTTAAAGTGGAAATTTAAAATTTTAATTGTTGCTATAACTTTCATGTTTGTGAACAATTATAATTTATTGCATACTTTAATGTATGCCACATATGTGGCCTACATTTGCACTTAACTTTTTTGCTTTTTAAGTTACCAGTGTTTGCGATAAAAAATATTAAATATACATTATTTTAATAAAAAAAAAGGTTTACTTGTTAATAACTTCAATATTCAACAGTTTTCGAGATAATCGCATTTTACAAATCAACTACCTAATTTATATTAAAACGCAATTACTCTAAGCAACGAAAGAAAATTAGACAAAAACATCAATACTTCTGAATTTTGGTACAAAATGCTTTTAATCAAGATAATAGTTGACGAAATAATAAACAAAATATATTTAAGCAGGATAATTTGCAATGGGATTTGACAAAATAACAGAATGTTTGGATTTTACATTAAACATTTTACGTTTTATATTAAATTAAACTCATAATCAAAATATTTTGTTTACAAACCAAATAAAGAAATAGATAAACTAAATAACATTAAATTTTTGTCAAAGTAAGTGTTTGATATGTCCATCATTTTCTTTAATTCATTTGTTAATACACTTCATAAAAGATCGTCTTATATTAAATAGCATCATCGGTTCTAAAGAAACTGCTGTAGTATTTATTATAAATAATATAAGTATATTAATAAGTACTCTTCTGGGATTTTTCATGAATTAAATAATAATATTAATATCTCACCACATGACCAAGAAATATGACTACACGAACAATCCAACGTTCAGGAAAGTTGTAGTTAAGTATCTTCTCACTGCCTCTCTCTATAATATGGTGGTATACCATATTGCATAAACCATATATTTCGCCTTAAGTTTGATGACAATTCTTCGAATAAATCAATAAAATAATTTTATAAAAATATAAATAAACCTCGCCATTCAAATTACAAGGTAATTCGCATGTCCGTAAAAAATAATTACCAATGGTTCTAAACCATACGTTTATTTAAAATTCATTTTTATAATGCATATCTTTTGGTTTGGTACCATTTGTAATTATTTTTTTACGGACATGCGAATTACCTTGTAATTGGAATGGCAAGATTTATTTACATTTTTTATAAAATGATTTTATTGATTTATTGGAAGAATTGTCATCAAACTTAAGTCGAAATATGAGGTTTATGCAAGATGGTACACCACCGTATTATATAAAGAGGGCAGTGAGAACATAATTAAATACAACTTTCCTGAACGTTGGATTCTGATCATGTGGTAAGATATAAAATATAATTATTTAATTCATAAAAATCCCAAACAAATACTTTATTATTATATTATATTTATTATATATTATACTTATAATACTTATCATAAATACTACAGCAGTTTCTTTAAAACCAATGATGCCATTTAATATGAGACGATCTTTTATGGAACTTATTGTCAAATGAATTAAAGAAAATGGTAAACATATTGACTACTTACTTTGACAAAAAGTTTAATGTTTAAAATTATTTGAATAGGTCACATTCTCAGCACCTTCAACTGTTGTTACGTTTTGTTTTAAAATTTCTTATTCGTGAGTCGCTGAAAATATTACTCCGTATTTTATACTCTACAGCTGCTATCAAATCAAAATAATAATTTATTGGTTAGATTATTATATTTAATTGTAATCAAAATATAAAGTGTGCACATAGTGTGCATTATCATTTAATAATAGCGTATAATAGATATCAATCAATATTATTTTATAAGTAGAAGCACTGAAAACTATTTATAAATGGCAACGGTTGTTTACATTTCTCTGTCTTATGGATCTACGTCAAACTTCAAATGCTGTTCCATGTTTGTTTACTTTTTAGTAAAAGTCGTTTTTCGATATTTTGGCTGTATTTTAAGTGATATTTGTGAAAAGTGAAATAAAATAAACGAAATATTTACATCCCGATCTCTCATTTCATTTGTAAGTACATACAATTTACATTATTTAAGATGAGGAAATGAGGAAGCGTGTTTGTTTACAATTTAATAGGCGTACCATTGGGTTTATTCATCTTCATTAATGTATTGAATAAGATATAAATTCATGAAATTAGTAGACATTTTTAAATTGTAAGTAGACATCATCTGATTAAAAAAGATCTGTTTAGTACCTTTTTAAAACGTTTTTTTATACATTATTACTACTTCCAATTTTTAAAATCTGAATAATTACCCGCGAGTAAAAATTCAAGCACGCTTATGCTCATTGCGGAAGCATCACATTCTATGGAAGCTTCAAAACATTGTGTGGTAAAGGTATCTTATTGCTGTGTCCATCTATGTTTATACGTCCATGGTTTTATCTAATTTTCTTTCGTTACCTGGAGTAATTGCGTTGAAATTTGAATTATGTAGTTGATTTGTAAAATGCGATTATCTCGAAAACTGTTGAGTTTTGAAGTTATTAACAAGTATACATTTTTTTGTTAAAATAATGTATCTTTAATATGTCCACAAACATCAGTAATTTAAAGAGCAAAAAAATTAAGTGCAAATGTATGTCACATATGTGGCATATGTAGCGCCCTCTATCAGCTACATTAAAATATGCATCAAATTATAATTCCTTCAATAGTACTTAGGTATAAATTTTAATACATAAATGTTCATAAACATGAAAGTTATAGCGAAAATTAAAATTTTAAATTTTCATTTTAACACCCTGCATCCTTCTTAATATCAACATTTTATTGCTTAAATCGTAATATTTTTAAGTGAAGAATCTAAGGTTTCTTTTTGTACAATTACTTAAGGATCACCCTGTATATTAAAATACCTGCATTCAATTTCTTTTTGCGGTAATCCTTTCCAAGATCTTGATTCCTAACGTCAAGCAATGTTTTATCCACCGATAGGATTTATTTTAATCAAATTTTACTATTTCATCCATCTTTTTCCAATGTGAGTATGTCTCTTTTTTTATCTTGATCTTTTAAGGAACTTCTTTTTGTCTTTCAGAAAAAGCTGTTTCGCCAATATTTGCAATTTTTTAAATCAGTCTCCCTTAAAATTGTCTCTTCACAAACTAACACAAAAAAATCCTCCAAAAGTCTTTAAAAAGTCCCACCTTCAAAACAATGACCTAGCGACTTTTAAAGGAATTGGGCCAACATTGGAAACAAAAATAAACTGTACATTGTACTAAAGTTAAAAATACCACTCATTTCCTTCCTGGAAAAATATAAAAAACGTTATCCTACTTTATCAGTCAATTAATTAGCAAAGATTAAAATCTTGTTTATTCGTTAAGATAACGTTAGGGAACAAAAATATCAACAATATGTATTTAAATTTTATATTTCTTCACAAGAATATAATGTACATGATAAAAATTTAGCTTTTGGTACAGTAAAAGTACACAGGTTTTTATATCTGTTCATCGAACGCCATATTTACAAAATGCACACCATTGGTTTAATAATAAGAGAATGTAGTTTCTAACAAAGTGTAAATTGTGACACAAAAAGTGTTAAGGCAAAGTGTTAGTGTCTCAAAGTTTTACATCTACACAATTTTCTAATGCCATTGTAAATAAAGGAAATATAGTGTCATGGATAATCAGTGGAAGTTTATTAATGTTAGTTAATTTTTGTATATTTTCTACATGGTAAGACTCATTTAACAGAAGTGTCTGATTTTGATGAAGCATATAAAATCTTATTTAATTTTAGAGTTAAAAATACTACATTCTTTTATCATAGTTTTTATATTTTTTTTAGCAATTTTACAGTTTGTGGACTAGTATAATCTACGTTTTCGTTTAGATTGTTTTATTCAATCAAACGATTACTTATAATGTATGAAACATACATTGGAACTATAAATTATAAATTATTTTTTCCAAATAACAAGTATATGATCAAAATTATAATATTCACCATTACAAATTTCTACAACTTAGATAAAATCGAAGAAACAGGACTTTTCAGGACTGTAGATCAAGATTCTTGTTCAAAAAGCTTAACCAGTTTCTACTGGATTTTATACAATCATAAAGCTATTTATGTTTTCTGTCA